CCGCACACAACTCTACCCTCTCCTTCGTAATACCTACATATCCTGCCTCATCGGCCTCTTTTCTTTGTCGACAAGAGCTTCACCAGCCCGAGATAACCTTTACGCCACTTGACGACTTTCCCCGCTTGGCAGGGCCGAGCGTGCCCCCTTGGCACTCACGGCTGTATCACATTGGCCTTATGCCAGCTTCTCCCTTTCTTCGCCTTTGTCCTCATTCGCACCCATTTGGATTCCAGTTTGAACATGATACCAAAACAGCACCGGGAGGGAAAGAAGTATCGTTCGTTGCACTGGATTGCATCGAAAGGAGGGCATTTGAAGTTGTTGCTCTCTTTCGTTTCCGTCGTGTGACCTTAGATACAGGCCATTCTCGTCACGCCTCACAACTCCCGCGGACCGAGCCCTTTGCATACGTATCTGCACTTTTGTATTTTGCAGAGCCGTGGGAAGGGGGGGTCAATGTGTCGGATCTGTGAAAGTATATAGCGCCAATTGGCCTCGCGCCATCATTGACCGGCACTGTTACTGCACTTTGGGCCTCTTGATGAAAATGATGATCCAAACCTTTGACATGCGTTAGGCCTCCCTTGGCAGAATACAAAAAACGGATGCAATGCCGTCTTGGCGCCCAGAGTTGAGACGCCGGCTTGGCTGTGGAGAGACCAATGGTCTCGATGAAAAGCTTGCACTCAAGCTTTTGCCAATGCTTGTCAGGGTCCCTCTTATCCGTGTCAGGATTTGGGCGACATCGATGCCAACGTCTGCAGTCAGGCAGACCATCTGCCAGTGAGTGAGAAAACACCAGATTTAAGCTTGCGTCCGATGCCGAAAAGCAGGTCTTGTAGACAGGGGCCTGATGCGTGTTTATTTTGCAATAGTGAGGTTTAAGGTAGTGGGCTAGCCGGACTAGGTCTGGGTCCAGGGTCATCGTACAGCATGACCAGTCCAGGGCTGATGTCATCAGGAGGGTTGCCACTGCGTGGTGCCTCCAGGCGGCCAGGCACCTGAGGTACTTGGTCTGAAGACTGGATAGAAAGTGGTGAGCGCCCGTTGAGACGCATTCTCCCCCACCGATTGCGGAATGTTGCGGACACTGCCTCGGGGAGCCAACTCGGGCCAAAGAGCATTCGCCAGAATGCCCTGCCGCGCGGCGCCTTGACTGTGATGAACATGAAAAAGGCCAAGGGGCCTCGAGCAGCAGACGTCCTTGGAAGTACGCGAACCTGTCTCCGCGTGCCTTGGAGGTACGACGCCAAAAGCCCGAGGACCACGCTCAACTTTCAAGGCGCACGCCCACGCCCCCATGCACCCACCTAGGTACCCTGCGCCAGGCCTTCCTCGTTTTCGCAATGTTGCCCCCGATTGACCCCACCACCGCCAGCGCTAGCCGGTGTCGCCGCGCCGGCATTTCAGGACGACTTGCTGCAAGCGACTTTTCTTCTCTTGTGCTTGTTTTGTTTCTCGTCACCACCATTCAATGGCTCGTCATCTCGATGCCCTGATCGCAAATTCCCAACAGTGCGCATCATACTGACCGCCGAGAGCACCAAACGGCAACTGGGGCTGTCTCTACCACTCTTATCGCTTCGACAACCCCCACGAGAAGCAGCGTCGCCCACCTGCTGTCTGAATGTCTGGATCCAGCATCCTGATTCCCACCCAGAATATCGATTGGGGCATCATCTGCCTTCCCGTCCTGGGCTGCATCGTCACCAGCCTCGACAGTATCGCATGCTCCGGCTGAGCGACCACTCCGAAGAAGACTCGCGCGAAGAAACCCCGAACCAATAAGCACGATGGCGTGGGACCACCTCTCGATCACCAGTGCCCACCTGGTATACATCATCCTTGGTGGCTTCACCTCGATATTCATGCTCTGCTCCTCTTTCATTAAGGAGCGCATGTACATCGGAGAAGCCACCGTTGCCACGCTTTGTGGCATCATCTTTGGACCACATGCCGCAAACTTGATCGACCCAAAGAGCTGGGGTAATGTCGACCTGATCACCCTCGAGTTCTCCCGAATCGTCCTCGTTGTCCAATGTTTCGCCGTCGGCGTAGAGCTGCCCAAGTTTTACATGGAAAAACACTGGAGGTCCGTCATCCTGCTCCTCCTTCCCGTCATGACATTTGGCTGGCTTGTCGTGAGCCTCTTTGTCTGGTGGGCTGTCCCCGCCATCAGCTGGCTCGACAGTCTGGTTGTCGCCGCCTGTGTCACCGCCACAGACCCCGTCCTCGCCTCGTCAGTTGTTGGCAAGGGCAAGTTCGCCAAGCGAGTGCCAAAGCATCTTCGAGACTTGCTGTCTGCCGAGTCGGGCTGTAACGACGGCATGGCCTTTCCCTTTGTGTACCTCGGTATCTACCTGATCCAGGAGCACATGGACGCAAGGAAGACCACCTACCACTGGTTTGTGTATACAATCTTGTACGAGTGCATCTTTGGCGCCATCTTTGGATTCGCCGTCGGTTACATTGCGAGGCACGCCATTCGAGTGGCCGAGAAGCGCGACCTCATCGATCGCGAGAGCTTCCTTGTCTTCTACTTTGTCCTCGCCCTCTTCTGCGCCGGTGCCGGCAGTATGTTAGGCATGGATGATTTGCTCGTAGGCTTCGCCGCCGGTGTCGGCTTTTCGAACGACGGCTGGTTCCACGCCAAGACGGAAGAGTCTCACGTCTCGAACGTTATCGATCTTTTGATCAACCTGGCGTATTTTGTCTTTCTCGGAACCATTATCCCTTGGGAACAGTACAACAACATTGCCGGCGGACTGACTGCCTGGCGTCTGGTCGTTCTGGCGATTCTCGTTATCTTCTTTCGCCGCATCCCCATCATGCTTGCGCTCAAGCCTTTCATACCGGACATCAAGACATGGCGAGAGGCTTTGTTTGCTGGTCACTTTGGTCCCATTGGCGTCGGCGCCATCTTCATCGCCATTCTTGCGCGTGCCGAGCTTGCCTACGAGACGGCTGTGCCACTGAGCGACACTCCTCCGACCGACATTCCACATTACACCGTGGTTGCCTTGATTTGGCCCATTACAACGTTCCTCGTCATTACTTCCATCATCATTCACGGCTCTTCTATTGCCGTCTTTACCCTTGGCAAGCGCATCAATACGTTGAGTCTGACAATGTCGTACACAACCTCTCCCGAAGACGGCCCGACGTGGATGAACCGCCTGCCTCGCATCTCCTCGCAATCGAGGTCCCAGGCGCGCTCCGTTTCTGAGGAGGATGAACTCAAGATGCCCGACTTCCCCCCCGGCACTCTGCCCCCTGTCGGTGTCACCGGTCAGTTCTTGCGTCGACAGAAGGAAGGCGAGAACGTCAAGCAGGGAAGTCGATCATCCTCTGCCCACCGCCGACGGAGAAAGTCGCGTGACTACGGCGTTGGACCTGGCGGACCCGTGTCGCAATCGGCCATCTTCCCCTCGACACGGCAGTCATCCATGGAGCCTAGCACCCACGGCAAGGACTCTACAACAGACAGCACTCCGCAGACGCTGGTCGAAGGCGACGCCGATCGATACGATGAGAAGATGGAGCACAGCTCAAGCCGCCAGGAATCGCCCCAGGAGGAGGACGAGCAAATCAACATTTACGAAGAGGGCAGTCACATTGTGGTGGAGAACCGTGATGGTGACGTTCTCGCCCTGGAGCCCAGTAACAGCAGGGGCAAGGCTGTATCCGACGATGCCGAGGCAGCAGCCAGGCCAGCACCAGTACAGAGGTCAGGGTCCATTGTTAACTGGACCAACTTCAAGCAGACCGTCAGCGGAGTCTACAGGGATGAGATGGAAAAGCGCAAAGTCAAGAGCGACCCGAAACACGCACCCGCCCGAGCGTACCAGTTTGGCAACACTGTGAGTAAAGCTCTCTTCATGCTGTATTCGTGATAGCATTCTAATCATTCGCAGATTGTCATTGAAGACGAAGCTGGCGAGGTCATCAAGACGTATGAACTGCCCACGGACAAGCAAAAAGACGGCCCCGACCTACTTCAGCAATGCCAGAGATACCTTGGTCTCGGTGGATCGTCCGACAAAGCCCCTGTAACGCCAGGGGCGGAGGGCGAGCCGAGCGCGCCGGCGGAGGGACTCTTTAAGAAGGGCTGGCTTTTCGGAGGTGCCAGCGGGAACAAGGCTGCCGCCCAAGAGCTTGCAGAAGACAAGCAGGTTCGCTTCACCATTGGCGGGGCTGGTAAGCGCATGACCAAGGACGACTTTATCAAGGAGATGCGTAAACTTGACCCCAAAACTCGCCACGATGTCGTCGAACAGTCATCGGCGCCACCCGCCGTCAAGACGTTGGCTAAGCAGACCGGCAACGCGTCTGGCTGGGGCGAGAAGCAACCTGAGCGGCGGCAGCAGCAGCCGCAATTGTCTGAAGAAGCGGGCGAATCTTCCGGTGAGGCCAGTAGCAGCACCGACAGTGAGAAACGACGCGAGGCTGCCGTGACGGACGAGCCGCTCCGACCTGTCAAGATCTTGGATGACGCGGACGGCGAGCAGGAGACCCCGGCCGAGCGTAAGCGCAGGCTGGCAGCACTGGGAACAACTGCGGGCGACGACAGTGATGATGAAGGAGACCCACGTGTGCCACCCGTCAAGAGGGGCATTCGATTTGCTGATGGCACAGGCCAACGGCGGGGTGGAAGATGATCGAGTCGCAGTGGATCAGCATGGCGCATTTCAAGAGCATCAGTATGAGCAGCAGCATCGCAAATAATCGGAGTGGCGTAGCACATATTGACAGGTACTTTTCTTCGAGATCTTGTGCTTGGTGTGCATGACTTGACACGTCCATCCGCCCTATCGTGAGCCGTATCACCTGTTTAGCCTTTGAGGACCAGTATTACCTCCAAGTTGTACTTGCGCACGACAAATCTATGCCATGCCATGCTCGGCATCCGTCCTCACCGTCAGGATAAGGATATTGTGGCCTGGGGTGATGGTTCCTCCGAGGTGTACGACTGTGAAGTCAACTTTGTAGCCTTGAAGTCATCGTGGGGTGGCCTTGAGTTCGTCGAGGCACAACGTGTCGCCCGTGATGTATATCCTGTGGCCTGACTTAAGATGGGGAGCTGTAGGAAAAGTTTCTTCGGGCGCGTCTTTAGGCTTCAACAACGACTCTTACGAGACATCATGGCCTAGCTCAAGCTTTCACCCGTTCGTAGGCGGTACGGCGTGAGAGATAGTGCTGGTCACAGACGCCGGCCCGGGCGGAACATGCTCCCCCGGCATGGCCGTGATCTTAATGCTGGGTCGCCGAGGACAGTGCTGCGTATCGTTTTTCGTACTGGTCATCGATATACTCTCGAATCCCTCCACATGTACAAATTAAAGGATGTCCTCAGATCTAGCTTGCTTCGTCATCAAGAACTCCCGTGCGAGCCTCGCCAGCAGAACACATGTAGAATCTTGGTTCGACTCTAGGACTGGAGCCGCTATAGCCTGTAGAAATTGCCCTGTGATTTCATATCGATGAGGAGACGTCTTCCGACCGTGTCTAAATTCAAACACGAAGAGAAGGGACTAATGATCACGTCAGTTAAAGGTTGCTTACCACCTATGAGTAGCATTTGCGAGTTCATAGGGCACGAAACAGATAGCTTTCCCTGCCTCATCCTATGATCGTATACAAGCACAACAGTTTCTTTTATATACTTTTCGATTCTTCAGGCGTCAAGTATCATGCTGTATTACTCAAGCCAGGCACGAGTTGAACAGCCCAAACCTCGGCCCCCAGATCGTATCGAGAACCCATCAGTCGCGCTAACAGCAAGAAACGTCCGACATCCCGGAGATGGCGTCGAGCCCGTCTAACGATTGTGGAGACAGCTCCTTGTTTTTGCCTGCATCTGGCATAGTCATTATAACGGTCCCAGACTAAAAGTTCCGTGTTCCAGTTAACCGATTCTAGCTTTGCGTGACGTACCACTCGTCTTGTCAGCGCGCGGGATACAGTCGATTTCGTCCTTCTCCCGCAAACTCTTTTCAATTTCTGCAACTCGTATCGTCTGTCCCTCTGTCATGTCCGCAGCTTTTGGTGAATATGCATACCCGAGTATTGTCATCTCTGCTGCTCACTGCCGCCTTCTCCTCTAAAGGGGCGTTGGTCCAGGGCCAGAGCACGACGGGACCTTCGCCTGACGACAGTGGATTTTCGAGGCGCATAGCCACTGGGGGTAAAGTCGACCGTTGAATGGCGACCCAGGTATATTGGCTGACATTTTCACCCAGCGGCTGTATTAGGCGATTACATCTATGTCGATGGTGGCCTTCTGGTAACCCAGAGCGGAACAGCGACCTCCAACGAGTCCAGTTTGCGACACCCTCCTGTGCTAGCATGCCCATAATCTGATATGTAGCAGGTCCTTACATGCTACAAATTCCAGCAAACTCATCCTGGTCGAACGACGCAATATCATTTAACCAACTATATTACACAGGGTCACCGCGGAACAACTACCCAGACATTTTAACGAGCTCGGACGGCGGGAAAATGATCTCTTGGGGTGGCGTTTCGACCAATGAACAAGCGAACAGCAGCAGCGAATACCTCTGGACCATGCAACCCGCCCTGAGCGGCATGTCATGGAACTTGGAGCGCGTGGATACTACGAGTCGACGTACGACAGCCCAGCGTTCGGCCGGGTCGGGCGCTGTGGTGTGCAACAACACAGCCTTTTTCATTGGAGGATGGGTCAATGTCGATACTGATCCGAGTGTCGATGTTCCTCGGACTACGAAGATTCCAAAGGTAACCACATCAATGTATGACTTGGAGACCGGCATATGGTCTACGTCAACAAATGGATTCAACGAGAATGACACATACTATCATGGAAGCGCGACGTGCCTTGCCAACTACGCAGAGAGCGGTATTGTCATCGTACTTGGGGGCGAGACGGGTCAGACGGCCGTATACAAGGAAGGCGAAAGATATGTCGCCTTTGACCAGGTGCACATATATAGCATACACAAAGACGAGTGGCTCAAGCAGGAGACGACGGGATCTCAACCCTCGAACCGGAGCCACTTCTGCACCGTCTCTGCCAACGGTACCAACGGAACGACAGAAATGTACGTGTCGCTCCCATAGGTCAACACGGCGCCATTAGCTGACGCATTGACAGATTTGTCTACGGCGGATTCAATAGCCAACTGTCAGAGGCTTACGATGATCTGTACGTGCTGACTATTCCCGGGTTCCACTGGACCAAGGTCGATTATCCCTCTTCTTCGCCCCGCGCGGACCACGCGTGCGTCCGGGCAGGTGGGCGGCAAATGGTTGTGATCGGCGGCGCCAACCTTGGACTCAGCTCCCAGGAGGCTGTCTATGAGGATGTCGATCCATGGGCAAACGGACTTGGCGTCTTCGACCTGGTAAACCTGAGCTGGAGTCATATCTACTCCAGCGAGAATAATGATTATGACACGCCCACGTCCATCTCGGACTGGTATGCTGCGGGGTAAGCCGGTTTTGTTCTTGGGTCATGCAGTTTGCTGACCGTCAACAGAAATATGAAACAGATCGAATGGTGTAGCGATGAAGTCAAAGACCTCTTCAGTGGTGCGGTTGACCTTGATGCTGTCCGAAATATCGCTGACATGTCTAGGTCACTACATGAATGGCAGGAACGCCCCCCCGAGTAAGAACTCTACAATCACCATCATCACGAGCGTCGTCGGAGGAGTAACTGGCACAGTAGCTGCCATGGCAATCGTTATCGTCTGTGTCTGCATGCGTCGGCGGAATAAGGAGATCAAGTCAGGGATAACCGTACACCGCTTCGCAGATGCTGGTCCGCCCGGGACGGTAAATCGCCGAAACGACACCTCAATGAGCGAAGTGCAAGGTCATTTGGCCCCGTCATCGGCCTACATTCCAGCCTGGACGGCGACAAGCCAAGCTTCCACGGAGCCCAGTCCGTTGACGCTGCATTGCACACAGCATCCCATTGCCGAACTGAAAGCCGAAGAACCGCGATGGGAGCTGGAGGCGCCCGTTTACCCGGTCGAACTAGAATGCAATCCGCCAGGCCATCGGAAATTCTCTTTTTGATACGGCTATGGAACTTTCGAAAATAGATTTGATGAATCTTACCACTTTGTTTAAGAACACTCAACTGCTTTTGTGCCCTGCTACCTTGTGGAAAGCCAAATATGATCGCGTTTGCTATATTATTGAAGTAGGCTTATCGTTTTCCAGGTTACCCTGAAGGGGTGTCCATCCGCTAGTGATTCCTGGTGGAGCACAGCAGCTTGCGGCTCATTCTGTTCCGGCCTTCTCATCAGCGCTTCAAGAATATTGGCCCTATTCATGGAGCTGGTAAAGTGTAGAGGTCTAGCAGAGCGTCCGGATCATCTCGAAAGACCTTCTGGACGCCCAAAGTAGGCTGCGGACTCGTGATGAGTAACCTGAGCGCAGGTTGACCATCACTTTTGCTGGTCATGACCAGACCTACCAGCGACAATATGACGGTGTCCATGCCGTCCAAGAAAAGCTCATTCTCATACAAGTTGATGCCGTCAGTTATGCAAAAGACCTGCATATGTGGAGGCAGCTGCTGAACCAGTGAACAGAAGGTATCGCAAAGGGCAGTGATGTCCCGACCTTCGATATATTCCCACAAGAGTTGAGGTGCCAGTCGAAACGCAGGGGAAGTAAATTGTCGAAGTATTTGCGTAATGAGCGACTGGATCATGATTGCAGCCCCGTGATGCTCTGCCCAGATCGGATGTCGTCCGCAAAAGAAGACAAGGCTGATGAGGCCGTCCCCAGAGTTTCTGAGAGACTGTGCTGTGAGGGCACAAATTACAGACAAAGGTGAATTGTCCATGCTCTGCTCAAATGTCCCGTGCACCAGAAGTTTGGCGGAACGCGCGTTACTCATCCAGCCACGAAACTCACGCGTTTTAGCAAGCTGCTGGGTCCTGCCCCTATCTTCGTGGATGATCTGCTGTGTGTGTTCGGCAACGAACTGCAAATCGTCTTCATCCATGTTAGGCACTTGAATATGGGCCGGGGCTTCTAGAAAATCTCGAAACGGCATAGGATCGAAAGCCAGAGCGGTTCGCGGTAATGGGCGAGACATTCTCATGATCGGAGAACGCGGTTCTTGCATGATTACTAGTAAGCGTTAGACCGGATTATATTCGCGAGAATATACCTACTTTGAAGGTCAGATAGTATGGCGTATATGGGGTTGAAAAGATTCCCATAGGACGTTATGCCTTTGCTGGCAGATTGTAGATGTTTATAGATCGAACCTAAAGCTTGCTGCATTGTGCTGTTCTGCTGCGTAGTGTTCTCGTTATCTACTGGTATTAGCATGTCGAATATGTCGTTGGCCGGTGGGAGGACCCACTGCATGTTAGACGGTGTGTAAACGACATTTTAGCTTGCTTTTCTAAGCTATTGCAGCAACATTTGACTTCTTGAAGGCTTCTGCAAAGCCTCTTTTGATATTGCTAACCTGAAAGAATAGCAGAGCAAGCTCTTTTACCCGACCTAGGCCAGAATCAGATCAGTTGCTCCTGGTTTCTGGTAGCTCGCGATGTCGTAGACTGACCTTGATTACTCGTGTAAAATATTAGAGAGTATTCAACCGCCACGAAGATTGAACGAAGCAGAGTTGATATTACATTTAATCTCTTACTTCAATATAATATTCATCATTGTTCCCCGTTTACTATACTTACCGTCCATTCCCCCTTCAAGAAAACAGTCCCCTATCAAGTTATAAGTCCGAGTTATCCCGTGGTCTTGTAATGGTCGGAGGATAAATGGAACCCTTGATCCCAGTATTCCCCAGACCTCATCTCCTGCTTGCGCATTTTCTGTGCATAATCCTAACTTTCCAGATGTAGTTAGGTAAAGTGATCGATATGAAATGCAGGACTTTACAGCGCCAAGGAACCGTTCATCCCGCAAAAAGCCAAGGTCGCCGCTGTCCACAAATAGTATCAAGTCTTCCAGCGCTGGACATTCTTCCGGGATGAAGCGTCGGCAGTACTCGGAACGACATGCCCCCTTAAACCCAAGCTCGCAGAAGAGCCTTACAATATTAACCCTGAAGAGCATCTGGGAAAAGAACTTCAAACTCCAGGCAGCCCACTCTCTGTCGCCTAAGCGATCGTGTGAGGTATCTGCACACAAAAGTGATGCGAATCGAATGCGAAGGGCATCGTCCGTCTGCCAGTTGGCTAACTCAGACCTCTGGATTAGAGCTTTCCACTTAGCCAAGACCTCTCGCAATGCATTTGAGTCATGAGAGTCCCGCGATGTGTCCTCCCTTGCTTTTATCGTGTCGATTTTGAAGCCAATGATATGAAGCTCTTTTCCCTTCACTGTGGCACGACCTGTTGACCATCCCGAAGTCTGGTACAGTCTGGCCTGGCCAACTCTTTCAAGCCGTACCTCAACAGCACGATGATCCCATTTTTTATTGAAATCAGGAACCCAGGACGGCCTGGTCCCCTCTGAGCTTGGCCCGAAATCAAAGGCCTGGAACACGGAGAAGTCCATTCCCCAGGTCCATTTGATTTGTCGACTACTTCGAGCCTCTTCCAACATACACTCGAATACTTGCATAACCGCGTCGTTCTGGGGTATGTCGTATCTAGGTGTAATACTGCTGTATGATCGGCCTGCTAGACTCCATAGGGAATAAATATGATCGCGATGATCCTTGCAAACTCGGTCGGTAAAGCTGGAAACAATGAAATAAAACTTGTCTCTGCCATCTGGGCGACGTTGACTTGTGCGCAACTCCCGACGGTACTGTAGTTTACGAAGTCTCTGGAAAAAGTCCCATAAGGACTTCATCTGTTCTGCTGACACAACTTCCAATGCTCTTATGCAACAGGGTCGTGGCTTCAATGTATGCGTCCAGAAGCGGTTGATGCATTTGAGCATTATGTCAAGACTGCATGACTCCGCGTCCCGGTGCAGAAAGATAACCTTTGGCGGTAGAAAGGCTTCCTGCGCAGTCCAGCCTCTGGTCCACCAGGGGCTGTTTGACAGGTAGTCAAAGCCACGCCAGAGTGTTTCAAGCTGGTCAGAATCTGCGAGAATAGGTTGATCGGAAATTCCGTTGGGATTCTGCTTCGGTAGGCTGTGGAAGTGGTCGGCGCTTAATACGGCCATTAGGCCCCCTAAGTCCGCG